GAACCCGAGACCCCTTGCCCGGCAATCGCACTTGCGACCACTCGGCCAACGAGGCAGAGCAAATAACATATTTTTATAATAACATCTTTTCATAACATCATGCCTTTTAGGAGCCGTTCAAGTATTACGTAAGCACCATGGGGGGGTGGGGGGGTCTCTGTTTTGCTTATTTCGGATGATATTGGGGGGTAGGGGAGTCTAAATGATGATTACGTCATCGGTACTTATTTACTTTTTTACACGAATGGCAACCCTCATATTGAAATTATAAATTACAAGCAAATACCGACAAAGAACTATACTCGGAATTTTAATTCGATTCCAGATTTGACAATTTCAGTGTTGCAACGTTATGACAAGTACTAAATAGTGACGTTGCGAAATTATTCGATATGGAAATGCAATATTTCTGGATCGATTCTTCTCGTTTATAATTTTACTCTCGTAAACTAAGTATATCAGGAAATTAAATATTTCTGAACCGATAATTTAGTTTTGACGATTAATTAACGATCTGAGACTTTTCTTTTATAATTGTGTGTGAAATAAATAAAAAAATGTAATCATGAAGGAACATGACAAATAAAACAGATAGATGTATTATGGTAATAAGTTATTTTATAAATTGTCGCCGTCATCGCTATCGCTATCCTGTCACTTTCTGTAATATTTATTATAAAATACACACACTGATTGTTTATCGATTTTTGTGTTCATCACTACACTATTATATGTGGTATCATTATTTCACAAAATGACAGTAGCTATTGTCAAATCTGGAATCTAATTAAAATTCTGACTATAGACATTGTGGTATCTAAAAGAATATTAAAATTACAATACAAAAAAGATATAATTTATAATGTTTACGTAAGCAAAGGGGGAGGGGGTAAGATCTTTGCTTACTTTCGCTGACAAGGGGGGTGGGGGGTGGGGGTAAATAATTGTATTAAATCTACTTACCTAATATTTAAACGGCCCCTTATCCCCGAAGCGGTAAGCAGAGGTGCACATTACGGCACTTAATGCCACTGTACAATGTAACCCCCAATTTTTTATATTTTATGTTATGTGTCCCATGTAATAGGGGGTGAGCCTATTGCCATATACAATTCCAGACTCCGTGCTACCACTGTTAACTTTTAAAAACCCAGTAATACTTTGCCCAAGCCGGGAATCGAATCCGAGACCCCTTGCCTGGCAATCGCACTTGCGACCACTCGGGCAACAAGGCAGTAATTTTATAATAACTATCGTGAGACATACTAATTAAAGATCGCGGGTTACTCACGTGAATATACTGAGAAAAGCAGGGGGGAGGGGGTAGGGGGAGGGTGGAATTAGGCTTCCCGTAACCTCACTCACACGACGAAACACAACGCAAGCGTTGTTTCACTATAGTTTTCTGCTCGTTCGTGGTATCACTCCAGTCGAGCCGGCCCATTCGTGCCGAAGCATGGCTCTCCCACACTTATTGTTTTAGTTTAAAATCTCCAACGGTTTATTATCTGTAATATTAAGTTACATACCTTCTCATGTGTCGCTTGTAGTGTCCAGTGAAGGAGTCTATAGACGGTACTATAGTTTTACATATGGGGCACACGTAGTCGCCTAGATCCTACAACAAAATTAAATATAAGCTTCAGATTCCCTGCAAAACTAGCGTTTATTCAGCGTAGGCGTTCGTTAAACGTATACGTCGCGCAGAATTCTTTTTTTTTTTTTTTTTTGTTAAAAAAATTCACGTGTATTCATTTGCTCTTGCACTGATGCCGCGAGAACGCTACGTCTGCGCGGCGTATACGTTTACGTGACGGGGGCCTTGATTAATTCAACGCTAAATATCACATAGGAATTCATAACCTAACTGTTGAAAAGAAGTATAAGTATACAGAGCGGATATGAATGGGGCCGTCGGTAGAGGGCGCCCTAAACGAAAATATATTTTTTTTTAAGGGGGGAAAGTCATCGAATGACTGCTCCCGCCTGGGTGAGGCGGGAGGGAGTGTCACTCTTACTGACTAAAAACCACCCCGTTCCTACTCCTGCACTTCGAGCCGGAACCCCGGTAATCTTTTAAGTTCTCCGCGGCACCGTATCGGTATCAGCCCTGTTGGGCCCCATCTGTGGTGGTCTGATGGCTCTTTGTGGCGCGCGTAGAACGCTCGGCGCCGTACGCTCGGGTCTGGTTCTGGTCGGACAGCGAGCCACGCCGTCCGCAGGCCCGCGAGAAGTGCACATCACAACACTTAATGCCACTGTACAATCAATGTAACACCCACTTTTCACTATTTATGTTTACGAGTCCCATGTAATAAGTGGTGAGCCTATTGCGGTGGCCGGAGATCGTGTCGCGATACCCGACGTGCGGACTGCTCTTGGCGACGGCTGAGGCGGAAGGAGGTTACTAGTCGCTGCCTCACGCGCTCCGCCTCCTCCTTAGCTAGCATGACTGCTTCGCAAAAGGAGGAGACGGCATCCCAGTCCTCCTCGAAAAATTATTGTGTGGTTGGTATGTTTATTTATTTATTAATTTCAATTAAATAGTATAACATTACAGTCATAAAACCAAGGCGTTATTTTAGAACATTTCAAATGATTATAAAAAGAAAAAAAAACATAACAAAACAAAACAGAAGAGTCCTTAAATAAAACAAACAATAAGAATAAGAAAACCTTACAAACTATGACAGGTTTTAATACCAATAAGCAAAATATACAATATAAAATAAATAAGACATTTACAACACAACATAAAATAACATCACGCCTTTTATCCCCGAAGGGGTAGGCAGAGGTGTACATTGTGCCATTGTACAATGTAACACCCACTTTTCACTATTTATGTTATGAGTCCCATGTAATAGGGGGTGAGCCTATTGCCATATACCGGGCACATTTCCAGACTCCGTGCTACTACTGAGGTTTTTACAAACCCAGTAATACTTTGCCCGACCTGGGAATCGAACCCGAGACCTCTTGCCCGGCAGTCGCACTTGCGACCACTCGGCCAATGAAGCAGTC